AAAAAAAAAAAAAAAAAAAAAAAAAAAAAAAAAAAAAAAAAAAAAAAAAAAAAAAAAAAAAAAAAAAACCAATTAGATACAAAGCAAAGTATTATTTAAAATTCCATTTTCTGATAGGATCAGAGTAATCACTATGTGTCCTTGAGAAAAGAAAAAAAACAAAGTGACAGTTGATATTACTATAAACAAAAAAAATCTAGCTTTTACTATTTTTATAGATTTATCAGTTAAGAATAAGTTAAAAATTAGTAAGACTTTAAAAAGGTGATCTCTAGATATGAGTAACTGCTCTGAAATAGAGCTTTAAAATAATAACATGTACTTAAATAAATGTACTTATTAGCATACGGTTCTTTAAAGAACGTTGGAATTTTAATAGTGAGATCAATCAATGACAAGAAGTGTATCTTTCTCAGGAAACAGAAAGTAACCACTATGCAATAAAGGCAATGATTGGAAACCCAAAATTACGTTTTGTTGTCAAGAAAGTCAATTTAATTTAGTAATTTAGCTTTTCCACAGAATTAATCATGATTACTTCTATATCAAAGAGGTATTATTTGGGGGAAAGAGTAGATACATGAGGATTTAAAATTATTTCCTATTTCTTACTTTTAAGATGTGGTGATTCATGGCTCCGATAGAGATTGTAATTTTCAAGAAATATAAAAGAAATCCATGTTAAAATAACAACAGTGGACCTTGAAGGCATGAGCTTTTGTCACTTTATTGTTAACCAATGAATATTATGCAAAATTAGAGATGTAATTGTAACTTAATTGTACAACACAAAATTATGCTAATGGTAAAAGCCTACTGAGATTTACCAAATACTCATTAGTGTATTTTTACATTGACTATATGAACGTGTGCTCAAGACTGCTAATGATAAGTTTAATTGGTTTAATCTCTATGAAAATCCATGTTGCAAATAGTTTTAAAAAATTCACACAGCCTTAAAAATGGATTAAATCCATTTTAATCCTAATCTAAAAATAGATCATAAACAGTAAAATATAACTGATAATTTTTCAATACTGCATCAAACTGATGTACCTATGGTAGTGCACATAATCCAAAATGAGGAAAATTAACAAAAATCCAATGTAAGTTCAGGTTTTTATTTATTATGGCAATTGCTTTAAGATGAACATTTATATTTCAAAATATGAATAGTAGGGTCCCCCATCCATTCCTTTGATATACTGCAGGTAGGAACATGCTCTTCCATAGGATTCTGAAGCACGTACACAACCATGGTACAATAGTCACTTCAAGGTTAATCAGCTATGTGTTTTCCTACAAAGTTCAAAAAATATATTAAATGCAACCTTCTTTTTCATAATGTCTGCCCAGATTAATCCTTTTAAAGTCAGCAAAATCAAAAAAGCACAAGAGATATTTTCAGACACAACCTGAATCTACTGTGCGTGAAAATGTTTAATAAAATGGCAATTTTGATAAATGTAAATTTGAGTGTGTAATACCAAATGGAAAGTAGCTGAACCACACAGAGAAAACAAGGCTTTATGTATCTCCAAATTTAGCTGTTTTACAATAAACAAAATATTAGAACATGTGAATATTAGAACCTCCTTCTAACTGGAAAGATTTCAGTAAGATATAATTAAAATTAATATAAACTAAAATTATAATTTCTAAAATAAAATTAACAAACCAAATTTAAGTATTTTTTAGAGACTGGAAAAAAATAAGCACAGTAATCTAGAAACCAAATACACTGATTATGCAACTATTGTATCAAGGTGCAGACATTCTTCATATGCTACAAGGTTAGCAACACACACACACACACACACAGTCACTACAAGGTTAGCAACACACACACACACAGTTGCTACAAGGTTAGCAACACACACACACACGCAGTCGCTACAAGGTTAGCAACACACACACACACACTGTCACTACAAGGTTAGCAACATACACACACACAGTCGCTACAAGGTTAGCAACACACACACACACACAGAGTCTCTCTCTTTCTCTCACTCTTCCTCAGCCATACGACACCCCTCCAGGATGACAGTATACCAGTGAGGAGCTTACAGTTTTAATACAAATCAGAATCCCACCGTCTGACTTAACAAAAAGGCAGTTAAAAATTTAGCACTTTAAGATATTGAGGGAAAATGAAATTTCAAAAGTACTTCTTGATGATTGAGGCTATCATTATGAATTATAAAACATATTGCTTACACACTCCATTGTGTTTGAACAACCAGTCATCGCAGGTGTAGTAGTGAGGTAGTATTGTTGTCCCCTCCTAGGGACTGATGTTTTTATATGCTGCCCTTCCAGAAAAGTCCAGGTTTTAAAAAAATAATTAAAATCAGTTACCAACAAATGTATATTTTCTTTTATTAATCATCTGTTTTTCTAAATCAGTCTATAAAAGAGTAAAACTTTTAAAATCTTGCAGAGGCTGTTTCATCAATAAACTCTCCCAGGGAACTACTACTGCTGTCTAAACCTCTGTGAAATGGTAGGCAAAAAAGCCATCAAAGGATTATAGGAGATAAAACACCAATCAACGTAGCTGTTAAAGATGACTGTGATTAAATAACCAAATATCAAATATCCAATAAGGTAATTAAATATGGATAAAAAAAAGTAACCACCAGCTGTACATACATGATCAAATGTTCTAATCTCTTTCATGATTCATAGCCATATTCTACATAATGATCAAAGACTGTCCACTGTGCTACCATCATCTTAAACACTAATGGATCTGTATGATGGTGGAATTATGACAATGGGCATGGCAGATAAGAGAAGGGCACACTGAGAAAATATGACTGAGAGAGAATGTGGAGATATATATAGGTTAAATATGGAAGGGGCAAGGAAAACCCATTAAAATGTTTGTTCACCATTATCCTTTAAAATGTACATAGAACTGAAATCACACATACACATTTGTCAGACATGATAATTAGTGTTAGTCTTAACAGAAAAAGAAAGAAAAAGAAAAATGTGAAAAGAGGCAATGGAACACAATTCTCCATTCCCTGGGCCAAAAGAAAAAAAAAAAAAACCAAGCATGGTATCATACTGCCTTAATGTTGAAGAGCTCCCCTTAAATTTATCTTTTAGCTACCACAGTCAAACTGGTATAAATGCTTTGGCAAGGTGGGATGCATTCCATCATATCTGCAAAGGCCTGCTTTTCTCTGTTGGTGGTTCAGCTTATGAAGAACATATATGCAAAATAACAGCTCTCACATTGCTTCAAACTCATCGATACGCTGCTTTGTATTGCCTTGCCGAATCTGTCGCAGAGTCTTATACTTATCACGGCCTGCTTTAACATTCTCAGCATGAAGAACATCATTTTGTGTTTTCTTGGTTTCATCTCTGGCTTGGGCTAATTCTGAACTTAATGCCTGTATTTAAAAAATAAAAAGAAAGACTCTTATTTTTTTCTTATATTTAAAAAATTTATGAAAATGGCTTCAAGATGCAAAAAATACATATACCAAATCATTTCCACTGTGAAACCTTTTTCTTTAGTGTATAAGTTTGCTTTAGTAATGGTAGTGGCAGTGGTAAGGACAGAATACTCATGGCCTTTCATTTACACATTTATCAATCATAATATTTTGTACATTATTCTAAATTTCCTTAACTTTCTCATCTAATACTTGAAATGGCTAAAAGCCCAATGTAGCCATTATAGACTAATATTACTATAAGATTTAAAATCTATACCTCAAGGGAAACTTTCTCCAAAAGACTTAATATATTTTGTGTAACTATCACCCCATTTTCTTTTATTAATATTTAAAGATTTCAACAATTAAAATATTAGGTAACTTATTAGGAAAAAAGCTCTCATAATATTAAAATTCTCTACTTTGACCTAATTATGTCCATGTAATATACTGACCTTTTGCCAATATAAAATCTGAACAAATAATTAAGATTATACAATGTCTTAAATGTAGTATATTAACTATCATTCTTTTCAATGTACATTTTATTTTTTTTTAAGACACAGTCACATTCTATTGCCCAGATTGCAGTGCAGTGGCATGATCTCAGCTCACTGCAACCTCCACCTTCCAGGTTCAAGCAATTCTCATGCCTTAGCCTCCCAAGTAGCTGGGATTACAGGCTCATCCCACCACACCTAGCTAATTTTTGTATTTTTGGCGGAGTTTCACCATGTTGGCCAGGCTGGTCTCGAACTCCTGACCTCTCAACTCCATCTGCCTCAGCCTCCCAAAGTGCAGGGATTACAGGTATGAGCCACTGTGCCCAGCCCGCAATGTACATTTTACTGATTAAAAACAAAATTCGTTTGTTTTTCTACAAAGTATTAGAATATTTTCTACCTTTTAAAATGGGTCAAGCTGTAATTAACTCATTAATTAATGTCTGATTATACAAAGCTAACAGGTATTTGCTAATGGGTTCACACAACGGAAGAAATGAAATAACATGACTCTGGCCAAACACCCACAAGCCAATCACAAGGCCAGTCACTATTAAAACTTCTATGTTCTTTTTAACTAAGTTTGTCTTAGATGGTGAAAATGCAAACTATATTTCAAATGTGTATACAACTGCAAATTTTAAATACCTGAAGTTGCTTCTTAACACGCTCATTTTTCTGTGTTTCTGTTACACGTTCTTCCTCGCTTCTATGGTTCATTACCCCTTCATTTGATAATTCAGCACTAGCCTCAGCATTATTCTCATCATGTTCATCATGTTCATTTTCTGTCGGAGGAATGACTGGTGGTGGTGGAGGTGGAGGGGGGGCAGACATCACAGTTTTTAACTCTTCTTTGGTCTTTTCCAAGTCTTCCTGGGCTGCAAAAGCCTGAATATTAAAAATACTTTTATGAGCGACTTAGTTTAAAAATTAATAAAAAAAATCAAGCTATACTGCCTTTTTAATAGAAAATATATTTCAAAGTAATTAAAATAAGCCCTATTTATGAAACCTCTATTTTCATAAAAGAATGCCAACAGGTAAAAGAGAAAATTGAAAACATTATTGCACAAAAGAATTACTAACTCTGTGAACTTCAAGTCAGTGACAGGTTAAACGAAAAACAAGCATACATGCAAAAAAAGAATTATTAATTCTGGCAAGTATTATTGTTTGCTAAAATTGTTGTGCAAATGGTTGACGAGAAATGGATATTTGTATAATGCCTAAGAATGCCACATCCAGTAGATTTTATGTGAACCACAAGGGGAAAACGTGACTGTCGTTACTCAAATCCAGTCATCACTAAAAAATAATTAATGGTGAGTTAAGTAGATATTAAGTGTCTTCTGATATAATACAACTTGATATATCTAACATCACCAATTGTTTGGTTGATCATATTATCTTGGTTTACCTGGAAAAGTCCTGTTACACTGTTATCCTGGTGTAATTATGAACAATACCCCCTTTTTCTCAAAAGTGCTCTAGTTTAGATGTCAAATTACATGGAACTCTAATGCACTGTAGTCAAAAACATTTAATTTGAATTCCTCGAGGTTCTAGATCTAACTTCTGGTTCACAGGAAATATTGGAGTTAAAGGACAAGCTGAATGACACAACAAAGTAACCTAAACAAATATAGGAGGTGGAACACTCTGTAGCTCCCATCAATAAGTCAAAATAATAAAAAGAGAACTGCCCTTCATTAAAAAGTCTGCAAATAGAGACAATGCAAAGTCCTCTGAACACCTGTCTGGCAAATTAGCTATGAGACTTTTTGAGAAATTTTGAATAGAATCTAACATTATATGAGAGGAAAATTCACTAAAATGAAATAGTATGTACAGTAAGATTTCATGTAGGTAGGGCATGGTGGCTCATGCCTGTAATCCTAGCACTTTGGGAGGCCGAGGTGGCTGGATCACCTGAGGTCAGGAGTTCAAGACCAGCCTGGCCAACATGGTGAAACCCCATCTTTTTAAAAAAAAAAAAAAAGATTTCATGTTGAATATATAAACAGGAAGTATTGTGGAAGGATATATACTAAGGTTCTACAGTACCGATCCTAGTTTATGGGAATATAATTGTCGTTTGTGTGCATTTTCTATTTTTTCATAATTCACAGACTTGACATCTGTAATATGCTTTTTAAAGTTTACGTGTCTCTAAATTTCACAAACCATCCCTAAAAGGGATCTAAAACATTCTAATAACAAAGTAGGGTGGGAAATTAACAGTGGCATTCCTTCAGCTGTATTTATGTAAACATATTTTCAATACATCTAAAACTTCCCAATGAAATTTAAACTGCTACAAAGATTTACTTAAGAGTGAAAGAAGGCTGGGTGCGGCGGCTCATGCCTGTAATCCCAGCACGTGGGATGCCGAGGTGGTCAGCAGTTCAAGATCAGCCTGGCCAAGATGGTGAAACCATCTCTATCAAAAATACAAAAATTAGCTGGGCGTGGTGGCGGGCGCCTGTAATCCCAGCTACTCGAGAGGCTAAGGCAAGAGAATTGCCTGGGCCGGGAGGCAGAGGCAGCAGCGAGATGAGATCGCGCCACTGCATTCCAGCCTGGTAGACAGAGCAAGACTCCATCTAGAAAACAAAAAAAGTGAAAGAAAACTGTTTTCTGTATAGGTACGTTTTATTGTAGAAACAATGTCTTCTAAAACTATATATCATCATTGGGGGTAAAAATTTATATTTTCCTTTAAGAGTTAATGTCATTTGAATTGACTCTCATCTTATATTCCACCATCCCTCCAACCAAAGCCTGATTTTACAGTTGTGTGCTACTTTAGATTAGTGGTTTCATCTACTTAGGACTCATTAGAAATCTCAGTATCAGCTGCACACAGTGGCTTACACCTATAATCCAGGCACTTTGGGAGGCTGAGATGGGAGGGCTGCTTGAGGCCAGCAGTTTGAGACCAACCTGGGCAACTTAGCAAGACCTCCGTCTCAACAAAAATAAAAATGATGGTGCATGCCTGTAGTCTCAGCTACTGCAGAGGACAAAGTGGCAGGATCCCTTGAGCTCAGGAGTTCGACGCTGCAATGAACTAAGATCGTGCCGCTGCACTCCAGCCTGGGACACAGAGTAAGACTATGTCTCTAAAAAAATTTAAAATAATTAAATTTCATATCCAATCACTGGCTGCCATGCCCTTTTGTATCTACTACAAAAAGTCTTCCCACTCCTCTTTATTCTCATTTCCACATCCTCAGTTTGGATCTTTATCTCTTAAGTATTCACTATCCCAATCCTTTCTTCACACTGATTACTACATGGTTTTTATAAAATCATATCTGGGCCGGGTGCGGTGGCTCAGTCCTGTAATCCTAGCACTTTGGGAGGCCGAGGTGGGTGGATCACCTGAAGTCAGGAGTTCAAGACCAGCCTGGCCATTATGGTGAAACCCCATCTTAAAAAAAAAATAAAAATAAATACAAAATCATATCTTGATCATGTTCTAATCCTGTTTTGAAATCTTCTAAGCCCCACGTCAATCGATACTCTCCACTGCCTTGCTGTAGCACAGCGTTTATTTAAAGCCCTTTTCAATTCCCTGTTATCTAATTTGAGGCCACATCTCCCAACATTTCTGAACAACGCGAAGCCTCAGCTGCTTATTGGTTATACTCAAATCTATTATGTACATTCATACTTCCTATACTCATTCGGTTCCCCCTGTCTGGAATGACTACTTCTTCAGTCTATATTCCCAATCTTTCATACCTCTAAAACCTAATTCATTATTCAAGACCCAGCTTAAATGTATATGGGTCTCCCGACAACTCACAGAAATTAATCATCTCTTCTGTGTTCCCAAAATACTTGGTTTATATCAGTGAATATTTACAATACACATACACAAATATCTTTCCCACTCTAAATTATGACAGTATCTTATATTTATTTCTATAAAGTCAGCATAATCCTACGTATAAAAGCTATTCAATAAGAGCTAGTAAATGAACAAATGATTACTTTGTGCTGCCACTCAGTAGCTTCTTCTTCCTTTTTCTTCTTGGCTTCTTCTAGAAGTGCAATCTTGGCAGTGAATTCAGCAAGTTCTGCTGCCTAAAATAAACAATATAATCCCAAGATTAAAATAACATATTTTGAATAATCTTGTGATATGTTAAGTCAACAAAGCTTTAATGCACATGCTCAGGCTGTTTATGTTTTTCTTAGACAGCCTTCCATACAGCATTTATTAAGATCTTAAACAGCGGGCCGGGCGCGGTGGCTCAAGCCTGTAATCCCAGCACTTTGGGAGGCCGAGGCGGGTGGATCACGAGGTCAAGAGATCGAGACCATCCTGGTCAACATGGTGAAACCCCGTCTC